TTATGCAACTCTTTTATGCTTTAATGCTTTATATTCTAGTTGCTCATTGGATGATTGAATGCATCTAGCAAGTTAAGGTACTTTGTATAATCAAGGGCTCCTTCTATGATACGGATGACTCCTGCATAGAAAGACCCGTTGGTTCAAGGCAAGCACCCTGGCTAGCTCTTCATGACAATCTTTCAATCTTCACTATTATTGCGCTTTATTCAAAGGATGGACCGTTAATGCCCTGGTTGGATGCTATGTAAAAACACTTGCTTGTTTGTAGATGGGTTAAGTTCGGCATAGACAATTATTGTAAACTTCTAGAAAGGCATCGAAATCATGTGCTTAATTCTTACAGTCCATCTTTATCTTCTGATTATCTTGTTGTTGACACAGGAGTTAATTGTGTTATAAAGCACAAACATAATAAATCGGATAGTCAATTACATGTCTTGATCCTCAAACTAAAGGGTGGCTATTTCATTTTGAGAATCTTATATTTTATCTAGAAAGCTCTTGAAAAGAATCTTCTATTCTGTTCAAGAAACCCCATCACTCCAAACTCTCAAAATTTCCAATTACTTGGTCTCTATTATTGCTTACTTCAAAACACCAATCATAGTTCCCTGTAGATTCGACTCCGGACTTAACCGGATTATTACTACAACTTGACCGCCTGCACTTGGGTGTACACATTTCGGATCAAGTCACCTACATTTTAAAGATTTAGTTTCTTATTGCAAACAATGTAATAGGTGTCAGAGGCTAAGAAGTGTGACCCGTAGGAACATGATGCCCCTTACACTCATATTTGTCATAGAAATCTTTGATTGTTGGGGTATCAATTTCATGGGTCCCTTCCCCAATGTCTTATGGCAACCTTTACATGTTCCTGGCAATTGATTGCATGTCTAAGTGGGTAAAGGCAATCCTGACTAAGAACAATGGCCGCCAGGCTGTGGTCAACTTCTTAAAAGAAAATATTTTGTCTAGGTTTGGTATGCCTTGAGCTGTGATAAGTGATGGTGGTTTATATTTTTGCAATTGGCCATTTACTTTATTGATGCATAAGAATGGCATTGACTTGATCTGAAATGTGTACACCCAAGTGCAGGCGGTCAAGTTGTAGTTATAGTCCAGTTAAGTCCAGAGTCGAATCCACAAGGAACTAATGTTGGTGTTTTGGGGTAAATAGTGACAGAGACCAAAGTGACTGAAACCCTTGCGATTTGAAGTTATGATGTTTATGAAATTTTTTGGACATAATATAAGATTCTTTCCAAAGGATTTTTCTAGATAAAATATAATATTCTCTTAAATGTAAAAATCACCCTTTAGCCTGAGGATCTGGACATGTAGTCAATCATCCGGTTGTTATATTTATGCTTGAGAACTCAATTAACCCCTATGTCAATAACAAGTTAATTGGAGGATAAAGATGGATTGTGAGAATTAAGAGCATGATTCCGATGTTTTTGTAGAGATTTACAAGAATTGTCTATGCCGAGACTCAACCCGTCTACAAACAAGCAAGTAATTCTATAAGTCATCCAACCACTATGTTAATATTCCATTCTTAGTTGAAGTACAATAATGGTGAAGAATGAAATGTAGTCATGAAGATCTAGTTGGAGTACTTGCAAAGATTGAGTGAATCACTTTCCATCCTTCAAGGCTATAAGAGAGCTAGAAAGGGGGAAAATTTTCACTCCTCTAAGTGAAGAAAGAACCTTTTACAATGAAAGCTAATGAAACTAATAATGAAAGACGAAGAAAGCTAGTTACTTTTGGAAGGTTTCCTCCTCAAACAAAAGATGATCTCTCTCTTTCTCTATCTCTCTCTATGTAAGTCTATCTATATACTTCTATATCTCTCCAAAGAGGAGGTATTTATAGGCAAGGAGGAGGGGGTAAGGAAGAGTAAAATAATAGTTCAAAGTCCAAGTGAATGCCCCAAGATCCAGATGGAAAATCAACCACTCTGCATACTATTTGGGGAATACATTCGAACGTGGGATGGTGTTCGAATGTTGACTCCTGTCTTCTGTGATGGGTGTTCGAATGCTGAATGGAGTTTGAACGTGGAACTCAAGTGGCTTGTCACCCACAATAGATAGGAGTCAACAAGCCATGTCTCATCACCCTGACAGTCTTCTGTAGGTCCTCAAATAATTCAAGATTGGCATTCGAACATTGTACTCAAGTAGCTCTTCTTCTTTTGTGTGAATAACTGCAACACACCATATATCCTCACCCTAGCACTCTTCTAGGGGCCCTCAATTATTTTAAGGTGGGTCTTCGAATATTAATTGACATTCGAACGTTGATGCCTTGCTTTAAACTTCTCCAATTTTCTTCCAGAACATGTGGGTGTTGCATGAAAATTTGATGTTTATTGACTTTAGGCCCTAGTACAATCTTTTTTCCTAAAATTTCATCATTGAAACTCTATCAAAGCATAATTAGTCTTATAAAAGTATAGTAAGATGCTAATTTTAACTACTAATCAAGCATAACACATAAGGTATACACCGGATATCACCCATAGACCAATGGTCAAGTTCAGTTGGACAATAGGGAGGCAAAGAATATACTCAAGAAGACGGTTAACCCTAACCGAAAGGATTGGTCACTTAGATGGACTAATGCCTTAGGGGCTTACCGCACTACTTACACAACCATTCTTGGCATGTAGCTGCCTCGCCCAAAGGCGCCCATACCTTAGCTAAATTGGGCTAAGCTCCATGCATGGGCACGTGGGCACAAGAAAGCATGCAAGTGAGATAGCAAGGTGACTTGAATTGTGGTGCAATTCTAGCTTGGAAGACCAAGTGATGGGCTCAGCATGGCTAGGCACAAATGCAAGATAATCAAATGCTGAGGGCTCATAAGAAAGGCACATGCACAACATGTGAGGACGTTGTGGTATGTTCCCTGCAAATGGTGGCAATTCTGTGTAGTTATTGGCAGGTGAAAAACATAAGGGAGACTCTGTTATGTGCACACAACATGTAGGGAAGTTGGAGACAGTTGCTAGCTGGGTCAGTCAACAGTTGTCAATGTCTCTGCCATGACCAATACAATAGAGAGAGTGGCTGAAGGTGTCAGCCATGCTTAGTAGGCTTGTGGGCGAATTTGAATTGTCATGTAGTTGCCTAGATGGTTGGGCTTGTAACTGCCAATCAGAATGTCATAAATAGATATGCCTAGGTCTGTATTGCAACCAAGAGAGTTGGGTACATTTTTGTAAGCAAACCCTTGGGTAAGTTTCCTTTAAGCTTTGTTGAGAAAGAAAAGATTTGGCCAATTGGCCAATAAAGCTTGTGTGTTGTGTGTGAGTTTGCTTGCATGTCCCTACTCTGTTTGCGTGTGCATTTCTATGAGCCTTTTGAATGCTTGGCTGAGACAGAGTGTGGATCTTAGTACCATCATGAGACAAATATTTGAGTGAGGAATTATCCCTATGACACCAGTAGAGATGGAGCACAGAGCATATTGGGCAATAAAGACTTTGAATTTCAATCTAGGCCTAGCTAGGAGTAACAGGACGTTAGAGATCAAAAAGTTGGAAGAGATTTGTAGGGATACACGCGAGAGATCTAGATTCACAAAAAAAGGGCTAAAATTTTTCATGTTCAATCCATTGGAAAGAAAACATTCCAGCCCGGCCAAAAAGTGCTCTTGTATAATTCATGTCTCTCTGTTTTCCAAGGGAAACTTCAATCCCTATGGGATGGCCCCTACATTGTCAATGTGGCCTACCCACATAGAGTCGTGGACATAGAAAACCCAGAGGATGGCAAGACATTCAAGGTCAATGGCCAAATACTTAAACAATTCTTTGAGGGTTTGGAACTCCAGGAAGTTGATGAGGAATTGGTTGATCTAGAATACCCAGATCTTGTTGATGAGTAGTTTTTTAATAAATATTAGTGTACATTTGTTTTCTTATGACTTTATTTTACTAGTTAAATTGCTGACTTACCTTCTATTGTACATAGTGTTTTCATTTGTTTTTGCATCTAGTGGTGTTTTTGTAAAAAGATTAGTGCGAGGTGTTTTCTTACCCTTCTTGGTTATAAATTTACTTCATCACATTGCATATCTTTTTTGTTGCATTGAGAACAATGCTTAGTTCAAATTGGAGGGTGAGGTCACCATTTGCATGTTACACCATTTTGTTGATAAATTGAAAATTTGATGAAATTTTAAAAAAAATTTAAAAAATATCTGATATTAAATTTTATTTTTCCTCCTAACTATTATGGGACTTGTGTTTGCTTGACCTAGAACTTGAAATTTTAACATATGGGTGCACCAGAGAAGTTTATCATATGCTTAAGTATCAAATGCACATCCTCATTCAAACTCAACCAAAAGTGCAACATGAAAGTGTCGTTTTTGAAATTTACTAAAGAAGATTCAAATCTGATAGAGCCTGACATAAATAGTGGAGATGAATGAAGTACCTTTGTGAGCTATTGTGAAATTCAATTTCTTGGTCGATATCTTCAATTTTTGGAAACTTATAAAGTTTTTTCGTTAAACCCTGATCAATGAACCTAAAAAATTGTTCAAATTGTATCTGATTAAACCCAGGTATTGTAAACATTCCCTAATTTCCATCTCGAAGCATTTTTAATTTCTCATTTATCGAACAATCCCATTATTGGCTCATTCTTCATCAAATCATATAGATGATTTAGCAATAATGAAATTAAAATTTATTTACTGAATCACATGAAATTTTACCCAACTCCAAAGATGGAATTGAAGTATGATATACGTATGAATGGAGGAATAAAGAGAATTTTCTACTCAAATTGGAATTTGCACCGAGTCAAATCTGCTCCGTTTTTCTCTGTTGCAGAAAAGAGAACTCTACCCCTTACTTTCAAAAATGATGAATATTAAGTCCAAGAGGCTACAGGTACTATGACTCCTCTGACTCCCAATTGGGTTGTCTTCCCAAGTCTTGTTGGTGTGGCCTATAGGTCGTGATGTGCCTTGAGATGGTCGTCTCCTATCCCCCTGTGGGTGGGCTCTCGGGTCATCACTCTGTTGTGTTTGGTCCGTATTCTAGGTACCTTTGGAAGGTAGGGAGTGTGACAACGTACATGATTCCTTTTACTCCATAGGGCCTTCTCATTATTTGTAGTTTGGTGGCTCGAAATTGACTTGGCTTCGCCAAAAGGCCTCATCTCTAAGAGCCCCACCTCGCTCTTGTGACATGTTATGTTTCCCCTCTTTATTCTCAAGTAAAGGGTGAGTCCCATGTGTCAATTTGTGGATCACAGTCTCATACACTAATCCCAACAGGTGCCCTAGTAGGGCGACTACCCTACCTAAACTAATCATCATATTGGTCCTTAGGCCCCATTGTTGGAAAGGCTCGGCTTTAAAACCATACATGGAGCTTCCACCTCATACGGTTCCTTTAGGGATGGAGGTAGGCCTAGCCCAGCTCAGGCTTGTACGGTTAAGGCTGTTGTATACGATCTCATAAGAAAAGAATTAAAAAAAGGAGAAAAAAGGGGAGTAGAGTGGAAACGTTCAACACTAACATTAAAAAAGAAAAAAGAGTCTCGATCAGTCGCCATGTAGCAAGTTTCTAGCTCAGCTCTAAAGATTGACGAGAAGACCGCCATTTTACATCTTTCTTTCAAAGCAGCTTAAAGCCCTAGAATTGGGAGGGTTAACTTACATGTACTCAAAAGAAAAAAAAATTGGATTCAATTCAATTCAATAATGTCATTATTTTTGTTTTGGTTAGTGTGCAAAATGATAGTTAATTGACTTGATCTGAAATGCATAGTAGTACTTTTTCATGTATCTTTGAGAAATGATTTTAGGCCTTCTTTGATCAAGTTCAAAATATTGTCCCTAGTCACCGTGATTGAGTTGTAAATGAAAAAAATCTCATTTCCTTAACCACATTTTTTACCAAGCCATGTTTAATATGTTTATTCTACCTTGGTTATCCCGAGATGAATAATGCTTATATTGAAGAAGGGAAGATGCGATGGTGGAAAATGAAACAAAGGGATGATGTATGCATGAATTGAAAAAAAAAAAAANAAAGAGAATTTTCTACTCAAATTGGAATTTGCACCGAGTCAAATCTGCTCCGTTTTTCTCTGTTGCAGAAAAGAGAACTCTACCCCTTACTTTCAAAAATGATGAATATTAAGTCCAAGAGGCTACAGGTACTATGACTCCTCTGACTCCCAATTGGGTTGTCTTCCCAAGTCTTGTTGGTGTGGCCTATAGGTCGTGATGTGCCTTGAGATGGTCGTCTCCTATCCCCCTGTGGGTGGGCTCTCGGGTCATCACTCTGTTGTGTTTGGTCCGTATTCTAGGTACCTTTGGAAGGTAGGGAGTGTGACAACGTACATGATTCCTTTTACTCCATAGGGCCTTCTCATTATTTGTAGTTTGGTGGCTCGAAATTGACTTGGCTTCGCCAAAAGGCCTCATCTCTAAGAGCCCCACCTCGCTCTTGTGACATGTTATGTTTCCCCTCTTTATTCTCAAGTAAAGGGTGAGTCCCATGTGTCAATTTGTGGATCACAGTCTCATACACTAATCCCAACAGGTGCCCTAGTAGGGCGACTACCCTACCTAAACTAATCATCATATTGGTCCTTAGGCCCCATTGTTGGAAAGGCTCGGCTTTAAAACCATACATGGAGCTTCCACCTCATACGGTTCCTTTAGGGATGGAGGTAGGCCTAGCCCAGCTCAGGCTTGTACGGTTAAGGCTGTTGTATACGATCTCATAAGAAAAGAATTAAAAAAAGGAGAAAAAAGGGGAGTAGAGTGGAAACGTTCAACACTAACATTAAAAAAGAAAAAAGAGTCTCGATCAGTCGCCATGTAGCAAGTTTCTAGCTCAGCTCTAAAGATTGACGAGAAGACCGCCATTTTACATCTTTCTTTCAAAGCAGCTTAAAGCCCTAGAATTGGGAGGGTTAACTTACATGTACTCAAAAGAAAAAAAAATTGGATTCAATTCAATTCAATAATGTCATTATTTTTGTTTTGGTTAGTGTGCAAAATGATAGTTAATTGACTTGATCTGAAATGCATAGTAGTACTTTTTCATGTATCTTTGAGAAATGATTTTAGGCCTTCTTTGATCAAGTTCAAAATATTGTCCCTAGTCACCGTGATTGAGTTGTAAATGAAAAAAATCTCATTTCCTTAACCACATTTTTTACCAAGCCATGTTTAATATGTTTATTCTACCTTGGTTATCCCGAGATGAATAATGCTTATATTGAAGAAGGGAAGATGCGATGGTGGAAAATGAAACAAAGGGATGATGTATGCATGAATTGAAAAAAAAAAAAAGATAAGGCGAAAGCAAAAAGAAAAGAGAAAAATGGGCTGAAAAGAAAGAAAATGGAATTGAAATAAAGGTTGATAGAAAAAAATAGAAAAGAAAAAAAAAACTTGATGCATCAAAAAGGTGAATTGTGATTATAATGTCATATTCTCGGGATACTTCACTTTTGAATTTCTTTTCCCTTTGTTTCTCTTAGCCCTAACCCCAAAGCCACATTATAACCAAAATAAGTCCTTTTTGATCTTTAGGATACATGGCAAAAGTATGTTCTAAAGGTAAAAAGAAGTCAGTTACATTGTCTTAAATTGCCCGAACATTCCATTCATGAGATTATACCAAGGTCGTTTCAATTTGTGAATGTGCACTTCAATTTGGATTATATGTGAGCTTTATTTTGTTTTTGAATATAAGATTCTGCCTCACATATAAACATTAAGGGAAAGTCACTAGAACCATTGTGATTCACTCTAAGAGGAAACCGTTGGTTAGAATTGCATTAAAGCTGAAGTTGGATAGCTAAAATGGATGTGGAGGTTTTTGGGTAAATCGCATGCTCATTTCACACACACATGAGTCTTGAAGGGAGATGTGTAGGTGAGTACATTTGAATAGCATTTAAGTCTATGGTGTGACTCATCAGTAACTAGTTCTAATAAATAAATAAAAGTGTTCAAGACACCTTAAGGTTGCTTAGGATGATGAAATATGTTTCAAATGTTGGATGTGAAAAAAACAAGTAATTAAAGAAAAGATAAGTTTGTAAGTAGCTTCACTGTAAACCTTCACAAGAAAAACTCGTCCGCTAGGGATCACCTAGTGGTTTAAAAGCTTAGTGAGTAGGATAGGAAGGAATTGTGAATACCATAGATCTTATTTTGAGATTTACTTGATGGAGTTCATTTTGTTAGACTTAGAATTCCATTACATGTGTTTCGAAGTCGTCAAGAATTAAATTGCATTGCAATTTCATTAATAAATTTGGGCAAAGTTGTACAGTTTTGATATAGTAGTGTAAATCGTGTGTTTGGGTAGTTTAGTTAGCAAGTAGGTTGTTAGAGTTGGATTCTAGTCAAATAAGTTAGATAAAGTGAATAGGAGTGAAAAGGGGCACAGAGAAAAATTTTTGCTGAATTATTGGTAGGTACAGGTACCCAGTCAAATAGGTATTGGTACCTATCAGGTGGAACACTCAACTACTGGTACCTTTTTAATGAGGTATCAATACCTCATGCCCTAATTTGTTAAAAACGAGGGTATTACAAGGGGGAAACTCAAATTTTCTTTTTTTTATTCACATTTCTCTCTCTCTCAAACACTCTCTCCTCTCTCTAGAACCCTTTCAATTTTTGGAAGGTAAAGTCTAGTCTTATCATGCCAGATGGTTCATCTTTCCAAAGAAATAGCCCAAGTTAATCAGATGCAGTTACGATCTGGCAATAAATGACCTCTCATTTTGAATTAAGGTCAAAATCTTATGCTTAGTGACCATGGAAATGAAAGGTAAGCACAATCCTCCCCATTTTGATTTAGTTTCCTTGATTTGAGAGTTGGTTCTCCAATTCTTGATGTTTGGGATGTTGGTGGTCTTGATTGCCTGCACCAAGCAAGTGGCTTCCACCACACTAAGGTAAACAGGCACTAGGCTCCATAGGAAGGTCGATGATTCTAGCCCGAGTGTAAGTGAGCTGAGGAAGAAAAGGAAAAATGATCAACATTCGAAGGCTATTGGGGTGAGGAATGTGACTTGTGAGCGCAAGGTTAATAGACTTACTTTGGGGCCTACAAACATTGTGGTGAAAAACATTGAAAATCAAGGTTTACAACTTTGGTTTCAAGAGGTGGAGGGGTATATGCTCCCATTTTTTTAGGAATTTTATCAAAAATAGGTAGTCGTGGATGTTGATCTGGATTTGTTGAGAACCTCTATGGGAGGAAAGGAAATTGATGTCACCCCAGCATCCATAGATGAGTTTTTGAAGTACAAAAGGCCTGATGCTGACAAAGTTAATTTCTCTCACCCCACCGCAGAGAGGAAACAGCTCCATGAATACACACAATTAATGTATAAAGACCCCACAGAGTTCAAAGGAAAAATCCAAACTAAGGGGCTCAAGCATACGTTTGGAGTCATACACAAAATCCTCCATTACAATGTCCTACCAAGGGGGGTGGAGAAGAAGCCTAGGGTAAAAAAGATGGCCTTGTTTTAGGAGTTTATGGCAGGTTCCCGAATGGACATAGCACTGATGATCTAGGAGGTTATAAGGGATTACTGCAAGGCCGCAAAGCCTAGGGCGGACATGACTTATGCCCATTTAGTCTCCTAGATTTGCTTAAGGAGCCAGATAAAAGTTTTCGTAAGCAATGTGTTGTCCCAACCTGAGTATGGCCCAATTGGTATAACATAGTAGTAAGAAGATGAGGGCCATGACTAGGGCGTCTGGGCACCCAAAAGAGAGGGTTGGCCAATCCACATCTACATCCACCCCATCATGGACTATTCTTGAGCGATTGGTTGAGATTGAGGGTAGATTGGAAGATTTGGGGAAGGCTATGGTTGAAGACCATGGGATTTTGAACCTACTGACGATGATGATGCAGAGTTTTTTAGCAAGCTTTCGCAGGAGAGCCCACACTTAAGGTACCTCCACCACTAGCCACCACATCTGATATCCCACCACCTACTTCCAGGGTTGGCACTTCTACACAGCTAGCTACAGTACCTCCCTTGAATTTTATGCTTGATGTTACAGAATCTAATGAAGAGGAGGGTGATGACAAGGAGGAAGAAGGTGGTGATGCAGGCGATGATGATGAGGGAGATGAAGAAAAGGGTGATGAAGGTGATGATGACGATGCAGATGAATAGAGGGGAGAGAAAAAAAGAAGTGACTACAACACATAAGATATATTCGTTCTTGATTGAAACATTATAGTTATTGATTTAGAATCCTATCTATGTGATTCCTTTTGAATATATGCCAAAAGTCTTGAATAAACACATGATTTACATATAAATACATGTTTTACATAAAAAAATTGTATTTTTGATTAAAACCCTAGATTTTGGATATTGTGAACAAAAATGTTTCTTTTTACGATTTCTTTCATGTTTTGCTTCGATTATTCTTCTACTTGAGAATTGTGGAACTATGAATTTTGGTATACGTGATTTTTGTGGAGAAGTGTTGTCATTATCTCTTGTATGGGTGGGTGTAATGATTGTGGATTACACTCGAGTGTGTATCGTAGAGCGTTAAAGGTTTTCCTACCTTGAGGGGTTTAGTGGTTGCCTAACACTCCTAGGGGGTTTGGTTCCTTGCAAGGTAGAACCACTATTTTTCCACGTAGGTTTAAGGTTAGGGGCTAATATACTATTCCTAGGAAATGATAGTCAATGCTAGTATTCTGGTACGCACCCTTCCTAAAGTATTGTAAATGTTGTGGCCGTTAAGGGATTAATTTGAGATGGTTTGTGTTTGTAGTGTGTGGACAAGTTAGGTTTTGTGTGTAGATTCATGCTCATCTACCTGCATACATAGATATTATGTCATGAATTGTGGTTTTTGTGAGGGATTTTATTCTACTATGAACTTTACTACTTTATAACATAAACTTGATATCTTTATTAAATGTCACTATTTTATGTCAAAAGCATATGTTATTTTATAACTGAGCTTTACCTATCTTTATAATCTGAAATATATATATCAAATTATGGAATTGAATTGGATATCACACTAGATGAGCAGGTTGATTTTGAGGCCTAACTGGATTAGGAAGTGGGTCCAGATTTGGAGGCTTAAAGTTGCTTCGGTCTAGTTGGGTCAATATGAGATTTGGTTATGAGACAATGTTAGGAATATTTCTTATTTATTTAGTTGAAAGACTATTGTTTTGGTTTTGGATGTAAACATAAGGATTTATTTATGTTTCTCTCGAAAATTTACCTAGTTAATCTTTAAATGTGGAATGGTTTTTAGTATTTAATGATTAACTTAGATGCTCTCATAATTGGATGTTGTATAGATAGTGGTGTCTTCCAGGATGAATTTTGGGGTATTACATAATCATGTAAGGTCATTAATCATCAAACTAGCAAGACTCTTAAGTATGAAGGTGAATATATGGTTGGGTGTGCACTTGGTTTTGTGCACTTGGTTTTATGAACTTTCACAAACAATAACACTACCCAAGCACACTACGGTGAAAGAGAATTAGTTAAAGGAGGATGCACCAACACTTACAACCACTAAGTACTCTATCTCTAATATGACTCATAGCAATGCACTCAAAATTTGATTTAAAGATGGATACACTACAATTCAAACCAACTTGTGATTACCATGATTAACAACATAAACACAACAAAAGAAATTTTTTTGATTTTTATTTTTCTAATTTTTTATATTTTCAAATATACCCTAAAACCAGAAAATATGGAAAATATTCAATGACAAACAAAAAAGTAATGTAATTACCACTAAATCCCAAAGAGGATGTCGAACTAGGCATCAAAAACCCTTTTTCAATTACCAATGAAGCAATGCATGACTCTGCACCTTGATCCACACTCTCACCTCACCTACTTCTTAGGTGATTCAGCCTCATTGGTAGCCTTTGGGACATCCAATTTGGTTGAGGCAATGAGCCTCTCAAGGTCCTCAATCCACACCCAAACTTGTTTTCCCTTTTTATCTCTCAAGTTAGCACAAGGAATTGGTGGAGGACTCACTCTATTCTCTTCAGAATATGCAAGTAGAAAGATTCTTATTCAACCTAGCTAGTAACCCTTTAGGTGGTGATTCTTTCCAAGGCTTGGGCTCACTATGCCTACCCATAAGCTTTCCAAGATGTATGATTTGGTCATTCAAGACCTTGGATTGGTTATCCAGATGAGTGAGCTTCTTATTCATAACTTCCCTAGAGTAAATGCATTAAGTACTGTATTGTCCTTGCTCTCCACAAGTGAAACATGCAAATTATTTTGCTTAGGGTTATTTAATAACCCTTGTAACCAATTCTAGTCTTTGGTGGACTATGTTCACTCGTGGAGGGGATGGGTTTGCATTTCCCTTCACAAACACGGGCTTGAAAGAAGTGGAGATTGTGTGATCCTTGGCATAACCTAACACTATTTGTCACCAACACTCTTCCCTATAGACGTTTTATTCAATTTTTCTGAACCTATTGAAAGTCTCTTCGAGAGTTCACTCAACTCATGAAGGTCTTTATCAAGTATTATCAATTTAGACTCAAAAATACTTCTTAAAATCAACTGGCCCATGACACACTCTCTCTCTATAAAGCTCAACAAATATGAACTTTTTGGTTCCACATGTCACTTTCTTGCTCTTGATTTTATTGAATTAAAGAAATTTGAATTTGAAATGAACATGATGAGTGGACTAACCTTCTTTCTAGAATAGTAGGTTAAACAAATGACAAATGGAATTTTTGTCTCATAATCTAAATATGCAAGAGACCTAGTTAAGAAGTTTGGGTTAGAGTCAGTCAAGGACTTACGTACTCCGATGAGTACTAGCACCAAGTTAAGTAAGGACACTCCAGGAAAAAATATTGATCACTCTACATCGTAACATGATACTACTCTATCTCATTGCAAGTCGAATAGACATTGCATTTAGTGTTGTTGTATGTGGACGGTATCAATCTTGCCCCAAGGAGTCACACTTACTTGCATTTTAACACATCATTCGTTATGTAGTGGCACTTTAGGGTATGGTATTTGGTATACCTTTGAGACTAATGCCGAGATCATCTATTGCGATGCCCATTGGGCAGGGAATCTAGATGACGGTAAGAGCACTTCCGGTCGGTGTTTTTACATTCGAAACAACTTGGTATTTTGGCAAAGTAAGAAACAAAATTCTATATCACATTCTATTGTAGAGACTGAGCATATTGCAACAGGGAATTGTTGCACTCAGTTGCATTGGTTATAGAAAATAATTTTTTACTACGGGATGTCCCATGTTACCTTGACTATGTATTGTGATAATTCTAGTGTCGTAAACATCTCAAAGAATACCATTCAACACTCTAGGACTAAGCACATTGTTATACATCACCACTTCATTCGTGAGCTTGTAGAGAACAAGGTGATATCATTAGAATATGTCCAAACTCAAGATCAATTAGCCAATCCTCTCACAAAACCCTTGGATGCACTTAGATTTAAGTCTTAGGAAATCCAAAGGTGTTTGCAATTGAGTGAGTCCTTGAGGAACATAGCCCTTGGAGCATTAATTAAACATCATGCAATAAAGACTAATTCATATGTATATACATTTTATGTATTTACGATTGATTTGTTTTCTTATTTGAAAACTCAAAAAACAATAGAAATTTGAAAAAAAAAAAAAGTTGAAAACAAAAGAAATTGAAAAATCCAAAAAACAAAATTCGTGTCAAGTTTGGCATTAGTTTTTAGGATTTACGGTAATTGCTTTATTTGTTCTTTTCTTTGTTTATTGCATGTTTATGCATATTTTTTTGTATTTGTGTAGTGGAAACAAATACACAAAATATTATAAATGGAAAGGTTAATTGCAATTTGCCCCTCCAACTATACCCTGTGTAGCAATCAACTCTTTGTGGTTTCATTTCCAACAATTTGCCCCCTTCTTGTATCAAAATTCAAATTAGTAATGGAAACATAGTGAAAAGTAACGAAAACAATGGAATCTTCTATTTGTGTCAGATCAAAAAATATTTTCAAGATAATTTTGCTCTTTTCTTCCAACAGTTGGGAATTTTGTTATTTAAGAGGAATGAAGCTCTTTTTCTCTTTCCCTTATCTCAGACCACAACTCTTTTTCTATTTCCCTAATCTTTCCAACCTCTCATACATAGTGGCTTTCATTTCTAACCATCTCACCCATATCCTAAAAAAAAAATGGATTTGAGTGAAGCATCAACCCCTGGAGAAATTGATAAACTGTGTTATTGCGGATTGAAATGCAAAGTCAAGACGTCTTGGACGGAGAAAAATCTAGGGAGACGATTTTATAATTGCCCCAAATACAAATATAAGGTATGTACTTATGGTCAGTATTCTTCCATCTATATTCTATCCGAACCAACTTTTTTTCTATTATAGGTTGGATTATCTTGCAACTATTTTGGCTGGTACACAAATAGCTAATAGAGAGGGAGAGAAAGCTTATTGTTGGTTTCATGCGCAAGACTGATTGGTACTTAAATGTAGCATATTATTATGCCTTTTTTGGAATAATTATACTTTGATGGAGTTTAAATGATGACATTTCAGGTTCTAAAGTGGAAAAAGGGTTCAAGAACAACAAAAATCACACTTGAATGTAACACCAGCACATTAGGAAACAAAATTGGAGAAGCTTGGAACAAAGCAAGAATGTTTGAACGTCAACCCACGTTCGAACATCCACTGGAACAATGACAAGACCAGACTATGAAGACATGGTGTGTTGCAGCATAGAAGGAAGTGCACTTGAGTACCACATTCGAATGCTAACTCAAGTTTGAACGTCCATTGGAACACTTGGGTAATGAGTGCAAAATGCCAAGTCCTGCATGAAGTATGGAAGTGGGTTTCCTTAGAGGACCATAGACCACTTGAGTGATATGATCAAACTCCATCTAGCGTTCAAACGGCCATAAAGCAAAAATAAAAGACACGTTTGAACGTCAGACAATGTTCAAACGCCACTAAAGCAAAATAGAAGACAACATTCGAACGTCCTCCACAGACTGCCTGCAGAGTAGTTGGTTTTCATAGGTGGCATACACTATTCACTCATCCTCTCTTATCTTCTTGTTTCCCCCTTTCCCTTCCTTGGCTATAAGTACTCCCATGTTGGGAGCTTG